TTAGATTAGATTATAGAATTGATCAAAACCAGGGTGTCGAAGTAATTCCAAAAAAACTACTTTTTGAAAATTAATAATACTAATTTTTGAGGTTTTCTCAGAATCAACCTCGAAGATTCGGTCTCAATTCACAGAAAATATAAGTTCAGGACACTCCGTTAACAAGTTATGAAATGTTTACATGTTTAGACACACAGACATATATATATATAATAAATATATATATAATATATGTCCCTGTGTGTCAAAACAATAACTTCCCATAACTTTTGAAAATCATTGATTTTCGTAGGGGAAAGTTAAAAATTTAAAAACTATTGTCGCTGTCTTGAAGATCAAGACCACCATACTCCTGCTCCACGCCTACATCATCGTTATGCTACCGTGATGAACACAATTATATAGCTTTAAACAGGCCCCTCTGGCGCTTGGAGCGATATACTAGCATCCGTTTTTCTGTTCGAGTTCTTTAAGAAACAGAAACAGAAATTTTTTATTCAATGTAGATTATAAACAATATTTATTAAAAGTTGAAGAAAGAAAAGAGAAGAGTGAATAACCTTGCCCAAGCTACTGCGGTCTTGTTTATGTAGGTAAGAGTGAAAAACTAAACACAATCTACCTAATGCTTATTGGATACAGTGAACAATAGATATCTTTATCTGTCCTCTATTAAAATACATATGCGTTGTCACCCCCTAGGGCAAATACCGAATTCCTTTATTCCAATGAAATGGATCTTCCGTTCGCGTCACTCACCATACGTGGGATGTTTTGCATAACTCATTAATAAAACAATTTACGAGTATACGTAAACGCATATATTCACTGTTTTTCAAAGTATTCTCCATTACATTTAAATCACTTTTTCATTTGTTCAAACCATTTTTAAAATATAGGACCTATTCACACAACATAACACCATTGGTCTGAGGGCACGTTTTTCACGTGCTGGTCAAATCTATCATCAAATCTTTGATTTTTGGGAAAATAAAGAAGATAGTGCGAGGTCTGGATTGTGTTGTTGACATATAGTGGTGTACATTAATTTTAGCTTTTGCTCATTAAGTGGGATCGTTCAAACTAGACCCGTTTGCTGTCGCCTTCAAACACCCATAAAGGAGACTGTTGTTTTCTTTCCGTAATGTAACAATATGTTATCCATGTTACACCTCCTGTCATAATGTCATACACTGCATTTAAGTGGCCGTGATTTACAGTCTTTTTTATTGCATACACATATTAGAATACACAACCAACTTAAATTTATGTAGAATTAGGTGGCCTTCTTATCGCTAAACAGTGATCTCTTCCAGGCAAACTTGGTGAAGCAGATCATTTTCATTTAAACGTATATAAAAGTGTGCATAAATACCAAATAGTGGATAAATAAGTATATGTTAATACGTATAAGCTAAATATAGTATAAAAGATAATGCAATAATCAAATACATAATATTAAATCCTTCCCGTCCGTGATCACTGATCACTGATCATACTATAACAACATTTTTTTACCCCAATCAACACCCCAAAACAAAAACGTCGTTTTGGTGTGTTCACAAGAATTCCAACCGCAACATAGTTTTTTATTTTATAAATGTCGACGTTTTTTTTGCTAATACCGATACCCAAATGTTCTAAAACTCTTCATAGGGTGCGTCGGCTTTTTTTCTGATAGTTATAACCACTTTTTCTTCAGTTGTCGCAGTTAATGGTCGATTAATTTTCATCATAAAGAAACACGCGGCCATAATGTAATTCTGCACACCAACGCCTTACTGCGTTTAAATGAGGCGCTACCCTCTCAGAGGACGAGCAGTGCGATTTTGCGGAAAGAGTGAACTTTTAAAATCTTAAGATATCGTCACTCTAAAATCTTTTTGTGTTATTTCCATTTTTGCTACGAGTGCAGAATTTCAACTTGTATTAAAAAACAGTTGAGACGTGACGTTCCGTCAAAAATAAATATAGTCTTAAATGAGTTTTCTATATTTTAAAAATATTATTTTCGTAATTCAAATCTGATGGTTAGTAGTTTTGCAGACCTGGTTGGTAAATAGAGGTACGCTGCAGCTATACTATACCTAGTAGAGTCACGGTGCTGCTATATTATGTATGGTAGAGCCACGCTACAGCTATATTATACATGGTAGAGCCAAGCTGCAGAAATATATACTGTAAGCCATGGCGCGGCATTATACGTGGTAAAGCCACGCTGCAGGAAAAACCACAAGAAGCTGAAATATTATACAAGCCATTCCACCTCTGCTATATTATAAGTAATACCTTTAACCTATATATATAGGTTAAAGGTGAAAACATTATCGCCCGAAATAATATTACAAAAAAGAAAATGTAGGCGATGGTTAAATATAGGCTTCCAAGACTTGCAATTCTATCGCACGATACGGCGATACGGAATGAGCCGTACGAACTTCGATCAACAATACCAACATACAAAAAGAATTGGTATTGTTGATCGAAGTGTACGAAACAGCATTTTTGAAAACACCTATTCACTATCGAAACTTCACAATTCCTCACGTCTGGGATAAACGAGATTGATGTAGGACGAGATTTTTCTAGCATTTCCCATGGTCTTTCAACAACCACGGAACACGGAATGAAATGGGATCAACTCAACTCACTAACGTCTATCTTACGAAAACAATTTATTAAAAAACCATTTACAAAAATCTGAAGAGACTAACGAACTTACAGTCCACTATAGCACATAATAAATAATAGTACTACGTAACTATAATATGTGCCAAATCGATTGAGAAAAACTGTCAATGACCTTTCGATCGTCTAACCAGGGGTTACAAACCGTCAATATATAGGCACATTTTATATGTAATACTTTCTTTATTTATAATGATTTTTATAAATAGTAAGTGTCTACTGGCACATTTGTTGCACGTGTCCATGAGATGCAGTGTCCATGGACACGTACAACCAATTTGTCAGTAGACACGTGCAACCAACTTCAAACAAAAAAGCCTTACAGATCCAGGCGCTATCACATCTAAGAACTAAAATGGAATAACTCACAGGTAGTAATTAAAGCATGGGTTGTCATTTTATTTAAAACTGCACGCAACTGCTATATTATTTTTTTGTAGATTTTGTCACGTTTACCGTGTATATATAATAAAATATGAGTACACCTTTTCTATTATTTTTAGTAGATTTTAGAATTTCTACTGTATTTAACATGATAAACGTTATAAAATCTACTAAAAATAAAAGAAATGCGTGTTCAGTTTTAAATAAGATAATCTCCACCATATTTTTAAAACTCGTACATATTTTAATTATTATCGTGCGTTCAGTAATGTATATTGTTTATCATGCATCTCGAAGTCACCAGATTGCGATGTGCCGTAAACAAACAATACCGAATGTTATTAAAATTTAATAACATTCATTTAATAATATTAATAAACAATATGGCGATATATATGGAACGTTTTGATAATACGACCGATAGTTTGTCGATTTGAGCGAGAGAGACCGTTTGTGTTAACGTGATTGTTGAAGTAGTATTTTGAGTGATATATAAAAAAGGTTTGTATAATTTTGTTTATTCATCATTTTTACAGTCCACTATAAAGTTGGCTAAACTTGGTCTTCCTCATAGATCGCCAAAAAGCGTGAGTTTAAGTTAACTGGGTTCATCGGCTCCACGTAAGATTCATTAAGGTAGTTTCATCTAGTGTGTGATCGCCATAATCATTATTTTTATTTGCTTACTTGATTATTGGGTTTTTAATTTGAATGCAGTTTCCTTAACAATGCTAGTTAAAGTTGTAGGTTAGTAGTTTGTCTTTTGATCACTTTTTCTTATTAATTTCTAGTTGAATAATGTAGGATAATATAATAATTACGTACAGAATTAAGTAAGGGCTTTAAGTAAACAGTATCATGTGCAACCCAAGAGATAAATACAGATATTATTATGGACAAACTATAATTTGTGTTATTACACTAATAAATATTTAATTAAATGATATACATATGTATATAACGCTGTGTAGTGACCATCATATGACTTGATAGATAATGATATAATCATCTTTGACGTATATAGGTATACTGTCAACTACGGGGTCAGTACCAAAGATGCTTACGTAGCGTTGCGATTATAGCAAATTTTTTCTTAGGGAAATGTCCAACTTCCTATTCCCAGCCGTGTTTTGCATAATATTTTCTATTTGACATAATATATCAGTTTGGAAATGTTTATTCATAATTATCATCTAATAGTTACTTTTATTGTTATTTGAAAGGGACCTTATCAATTATGTGTCTATATCAATATACAATATGTAGTTATCTATGCGTTTGAACGCGTCAGTTTACAAAAAAATATATACATTTAAACAAGTTACATTTACTACTCAATGCTGCTGTGCTTCGTGTGATGAGCATAATGAAGATACCTTTATAACTGGATGTAAGGCATTCCATCTTAGTCCCCAAGGTGACAATGCATCTACATTAAGATTCTTAATTGAAGATAAATGTCGGTTTGTATCACAGAAATCACAGAAATCGTAATAATTAGTACTTTTTGTTTGTAAATATTATTACTATTTCCGTGACAGAAATCTAAATAACAAAGTATTATTTAGATTTCTGTGGTCTGTATGTGTTACGAGCATCTACTTACCATCAGGTGGAATATATGCTTATTTTACACTTTTATTCTTTAAAATAAAATAAATAAAAATGAGTAAAGAAATTCTATACAAGGGGTGAGGCCCATGCAAAGTAGTGATTCTGTATGGGATGCTGATTTCTTCAGCACAAAAAGAAGTTTTTAGGACAAGAAGAATACGTACCCAAATTTAAAATAATTTTAGAAATGATGATATATTCATAAATATCTAGGGAAGTTTATAAATTACATAAATACATTTTATATAATACACAAAATAACTATTTTGTTTTGATTTCAGATGGAAGCACTTTTAGTTGTATTTCTTTTGGCAATGACTCTCACAATAGAAGGAAATCCGGTAATGACACGACAGAGTCTAATGCAACAAAAGGATAGGGAGTATATCTGCTCTAATCTCCTTAATTTCAACAACTTATTCTACGCTCTAGAAGGTCAGAAGAATGTGAGTGGGGTGCCAGCAGATATGAGCGTTCATTGGAAAACTGGTAAAGTGTTTTTTACACTGATTAGTGAAGAAATGAAAATGAGTTTACAAATTTTACATCCAAGTGGCGAAATAGATTCAATAAAAGTTGCGGGGCTAGGTCAATCTACGTGCATAGATAATTTAAACGATATTGTTTATCTGGCAACGGATAATGGCGTTTATAAATATAAAGAAGATGGCTCTATAGAACTTTACACTGCGTTAGGAGAGGATGTGATGTATATTGCTGTGACGAACGATGGAAACACTATGTACGTGGCAACGTGGCCTCAAAATCGCGTTCATAAGCTGACGAACGATGGACAAAAACAGGAGACGTTTCCCGCAATTCCCAACGGTCATGGCTTAACCATAGACACAAGGAACAATATCTATTTCGTAGCAACTAAAACGTCCTATATACTAAAGAATGGATACAGTATTCCAATCAAGATAAAGGGATTGCCTAGTGATAAAATGACTGGTGTTTTTGTAAGTCGATCAGATGTGGTTTACGCTATGGATGAGAATAGTAATCTATACGTCATTGACCCAGATAATGCCAGCGCCAGACATTTAGGGTCGTTCAGTGTAAGCGGTGTGAACTCATTCGCATTGGATGCTGCTGACAATGTGCTGATTGGTGTGAAAGGCGCTTTATTGAAATTCAACGCGTTTGAGAGGAATCCATGCATTGCTGTTGAAGAGTAGATATTATTTCTATATTATTTATGATATACATACATATTATGTGCTAACATTTAACAACATTTCTTCACATTTAAAACCTGTTTATTGCTATTTCTTCTGTGAAATATTTATACAACTAAGTAACTCTTCTTGATTTGTTGTGTTTAATTTTCTTTCTCCTTTTCTGTCGCGTTTTCTGCCTAAGAGTACATATGGCTAGATAACAAACTCTTGACTACCATCAAACAGCAGTCCGTGTACAGTTGGGTTCGAGTCTGGAGGTACAGAGAGCTGGTATAACTACAGAATATGAGGTATTCCCCTTAGTCCTCAAAGGTAAAAACGCATCTGTTGCCTTCGTCGTTTTAAGTTGGTTGAAGGTCTAAGGACTGCAATAGTCTGCAGACTGCACTTACTTTCAGGTGAAATTTAAGTTCGTTTATCACCTCAATTTTGTATAAAATATCTAACGTATTTTCTTTACCATCAGTCTTTCTAAGAACTACTGTTTCTTTTCCGCTAGACATGGGTTGACTTTTTTATAGAATAAGGGTGACAAACGAGCACACAGATCACCTGATGGTAAATGGATGCTATAGCCCATAGACTATCTATCTATCCTCGTTAAGAATGAACACGCAGATGCGTTGCCACCCCTGAGGACTAAATTGATCGTGCCACGCTTCCAGTAAAAATTGCATCCGGTTCTCTACACTCACCAAACGTAACAAATTTTCTGTAATATTCTGTGAGAGCGTGGTCCCTCCCCGGTCGAGCTGAACCATTCGTGCTATAACCATAATATAGCTACAACATGACTCACTATGTCTCTTTATGATCACTAGTCTGTCAATTAAGTAAATTTTGGCATGTTTAATAATTTACTTTTATATTTTAGATTATAATATTATTTACAGTGCCTCTACCTATTGATTAACTTATCACTTATTTTTATTTCCTATTTAGGTTGTCTAGAAGAAATTGCTGTATAACAATAACACCGCCTTTTGTTTTTCTCTGTGTTTGTTTGTATATGTTATATGTTTTCTTAATGTTCGAAGGGTGGTGTTGTATGGTATGACTCTACCGCGTAAAATGCCTCCCTTTCTGGTTACTGATGACGTTAAAGCTAATGCCTTGATTATAATGCCTTTCGGCTTTGACAGCTTCATAGGCTGTAAAAATGTGAACTTAAATCATTCCGCATCGTTACTTGCATAACGGTGACTCCTAGGACAGTGTGCAGCGCACGTAGGCGAGTTATCTAACGGCCATCTGAACAGCGGGTGGCGGGGCCCGGCTCTGACGGCTAACTACAGCCATTCTACGTGGTAGAGCCATGCCGCAGTTATATTAGTAGTATAGTTGTAGCACGAATGGGTCGTCACGATCGGGGAAGGACCGTGCAAGGAACAGAATACCTGCGTAAAATAGTAGCTTAATGCTGCTGAGTTTCGTATGGTGAGTATAGAGAACGTGAGACCCTCTTTACTAGCACCGAGGAATTACATATTAGTCCTCACGGGTGACAATACGGGTGAGGATAGATGTAGATGTCTATGGGCAACAGCAACCACTTTCCATCAGTGGACTGTGTGCTCGTTTGTAACCCTATCCTATATTAAAAAAAAACTAGTGTCATTCGATGTTCTGGGCGGTGAGAACTGAAAACCGCCTAAGGTCGCGGGTGTGGAGGGGTGTGCCATGCGCCCGCCTGCGGATTCGCTGTGTCCCATCCGTTGTCCTATCAGTGTTTGTGGCACTATGTGAATGTGTATTATCTATGTGTATCGGGCCGGCGACATTTGTATCGGAATCTAGCGGAACTGAATGCCTCCCTTTGTCGGAAGAATTTGCTGCCTTTATAGTCACGCTTGGTAAGCCTATTGACGGCTCGTACCCTTGACGCTGGTACTTGTCACATGAGTATCTTAAGGTCAGACGCAAAAAAGCTGGTTATACCGCCACCTAAAAGAAGTAGATTTTTCTAACATTTCCCATAATCTCCTCTTACGACGCCCACGGATGAAATGAGGTGATGAATTATTTACTAGGTGGTAGAATTTCCCTTCCGCCTGGGAGTCCAACTGAGTAGGAACTAGGAACCCCCCCCCCCTATTTCAGCCCCTTACCTATTTCTGCCGACAAATAGCAAAAGTTTCAAGTGATCTCATTATTCACCTGAGAAGAAATTGTGGGAGGACTGAGGATGATTTTGTAAGAAATACGTCACGTCTTGATAATGGTCGTTTTTGCGTTCGGTTACCTCTCAAAAAATATACCGTGCTACTAGCAGATTCATTTAAAAGAGCTAACACATTGCTTGTTCTCTTTAGAGCGTATATATATATAGCGTATTATAAATTTGTGTCTGAATATCAGTCACTGGAACAAGTAGTATAAATCACTGCTGTGTTCCCGTCTGAAGAGTGTAGAGAGTCAGTATTAACTACAGGCTGTGAGGTATTCCATCTTACTCCTCAGAGGTGACAATGCATCTGTAGCCCTCTTCGTTGGAAGTTATCTCCAGGAGTCCATGGACCGCAGTAGCCACTTACCATTAATTGGACTGTAAGTTTGTTCGCTACTTCAGTTATATAATTTAAAAAAATATCGACATTGTGATATAAAAATATGTAATAAAAAAACACAACAAAACATTTACCTATCAATGTTTTTTATACTTTTACTTAGGAAAAACCAGAAAGGAAAAAGGCATAGTAGGCGACGTAAACACAAAAGGCGTACCACGACAACTACTGAAGTTGCAGAAGATGACGAAGAGGAATAAAATTTGTGCTTTTTGTTTTCTTTATTATTGTTAATTTTTCTGAAACAGAATTTATATTTGAAATAATTTAAATTTTGAATATTTTAATTATTGTTAGTTTACCATTTGTTGTTAAGTTTATAATCGACATTAAAATTTAAATAATATACAAATATATTATTTGAGCACCATCTATCTGATATTATTTAAACTGATATTATAAGCAGGGTATACAACGACCAAGACGAAGGCGTATGTATCGTCATTGTTATTTGTTTTCAAAAGATGGCGCTTTCATTCATTAGTATATTATTATTTTTATATTTTGAAAGCAGTAATTTCTTAAACACCAGTGTAACGTACTACGCACTCTTAAACAATTTTTTTTTTAAATCCGCCTTCCTTTATATCCCCAACAAGAACTCATATAGGTCAATATAACAAAAAGTTTATCGTATAACGTTTTGTATGAGTCGTTTTAACAAAGATTCAAGGAGTTAAACTTAAACTTAAACCTACCATGTGTATGTATGTGTACCATTTAAACGTTTAAATTAAAATTTAACCTTTAATATAAATATTAAAGTTGACGTCAGAGAACTTAATAAAAGAAAATAATAAAATAATTTAGACATTAATAGCTTCTGAAATCGGGGGAAGTACAAACTTCTATGCACGTTGTCCTTTTATTGACTTCTGAAGCTGTTATGTGGAAATAATTTTTTTTAATTTATACGTGGTAGAGCCATGCTATTAGTAGTATAGTTGTAGCACGAATGGGTCGGCTCGACCGGGGAAGGACCACGCTCTCACAGAATACCAGCGTGAAATAGTAGCTTAATGCTGCTGTATTTCGTATGGTGAGTGTAGAGAACCGGAGACCCTTTTTACTGGAAATGAGGCATTCCATCTCAGTCCTCACGGGTGACAACGCATCTGCATTTTGATTTGTAATGGAAGATAGATGTAGATGTCTATAGGCCGCAGCAACCACTTACCATCAGGTGGACTGTGTGCTCGTTTGTCACCCTATCCTATAAAAAAAAAAAAAAAAATTGTAAAAATGTCGTATTGTAAAATTCATTTTTTATACCCTTTTGAGCGGATTAAGGAATACCACAAACTCAAAGTCACAACTAGAACGATAGGTACCAAATTATTATACTTAGGTACTAAAAACTTCATTTTCTAGTTTAATTAACCTTAGTGGTATATTACTCCAAACTTACATAGCACCACTTCTTAAGTATTAATGAATAAAAAAATAATTAATTCAATTTTTAACTGACGGTGATATCGTCTACCACTACCACACATGTAAAAAAAGTTAAAACGTTGGAATTGACAATCTCCTCTCTTTTGAAGTCAGCTAACAATGAAACTGGAAGAGCTTATATATATGTAGATTTTGCAAAACTGAAATAAAGAAAGAAGGTGTTTAAAATATAGAATGAAAGAAAGTTTCATTTGTTAAACTTAAAATAATTTCAACTAAACACTTCACTACTAAAAAAAAGGGATGTCGGTTTGTACTTATTCAAGAGAGCGTTGTCGCCTTCCTTGAAGAACAAGACCACCGCACTTCTGCTCCACGCCTTCGAAGTAGTGCCACCATGGAGGACGGAATTGAGGAGCTTCTGAAGAACTTTAGGTATCGGTATTCCACTCGCTTTCAGAAGCTCCACTGTAATTCCATCACAGCCTGGGGTCTTGCCGTTTTTAAGGTGCTGGAGACTGGAGAGCCATTCTAATCTCACTCAGACTGTAGTCCGAGATATCATCGGAATAGTGTCGGATAAGACTTGCTCTTGGATCATTACTCACACTAGCGTGTGGCTCCAACGATGATGTGTACAGGTGCCTATAGAACCTCTCAATCTCATTCAAAATCTCAGGGGTCCCGAAAACGATGCTAGCACACTCGGTCTTCGGCTTTGACAGTTAGCTGTTTCTGACAGATAGATCTCTGACAAAGACTTTGGAGCCCTGGTTCCGCTCGATCGCTTCTTCAATACGAGCTGTATTGAAGTTGCGCAAGTCCCGCCGCGTGTATTTGGAGATCTGTCTGTTCAGTTGCCTGTATGCTGTCAAATCTGTTGAAGATGGCAGCTTCATTTCTCGTCTAACAGTCATGAGATTAAGAGTGTTATCGCAGAGTTTTTGTATTCTTCTTCTTTATTTGGTCGCATGGACACTTTTCACGAGCTTGTCATTCATATCATCCACTGCATTGCAATCTTCTAGGCACTGAAAACGGTTTTGTAAATCGAGCTGAAAGCTTTCGGGACTTTGGATTAGAGCAAGAGGGGGACGGTAAGTTGACTTCATTGGACGAGATCTCTCCAACTTAACGGTTAGGTTCATTGTTTGTTCATGTTCATTTCATGCCTACCCAAACAAAATATACCTATTATTTTTGATGTTAAGTATGATTAAGGAAACGGTAGCTTACATTTCACATATTACAATTTCGAGGAAAATTAAAAGTAAGTAACAAAATTGTACGATTTAAAAATGAGGATATCTGCAGTAGAACCAGAGTAACTGACATAGCCCAAGGGATTAGTAAGCTGAAGTAGCAATGAGCCGGCTATCTAGCTCAACGAACTGACTAGCGATAGGGAAGAAAGTTTCTCTGTTTGGCAATCTCATACTAATGAGCGAAGTGTACGGCAGCACCCCAGTGCATGAAATGACGACCTGGTAAGAAATGCAGGAAGTCGATAGATGCAGGTGGCTCAGGACCGTGCTTTGTAGCATTCCTTGGGGAGTCCTAAGTTCAGCTGTGGACCTGTGAAGACCTTTAATGATGATAATGATGAATAATTAAACTGTATAGAAATGTTAAGTTCTTAAAATATTCTGTAAGTACGGAAAAAAGCAGTCGTGACCCCAGAACACTATTACTCTCTACCGGAAGGTCGCGATAAAAAAGTAAAATAATGTGTAGATTTAAAAGTGTTCTACTTCTGAAGTGAAAACCAACACAAAAAAGACAAACACATATAGATCTATAGGATTTACGGAATGAGATAGAATAGAGTATACAGTGTTATCTTATTATCTGGGTATCCTCTTTGTGCGGTGGTTTGAAAGATGTTTATTACTGTAACTTTTAACTGTTCACACTTTAATCTTTAAACAATCAAAAATTAACTTATTTATTAAATAAATAAAATGAACCACATTTAATTAAGTTATCATATCCAATCCATTCATAACAATTCGTGATGTCATAACTTACCGATTTATACTAAATTAGTCATATTTTGGCCATCTAGTGTCTATTTTATGTCATCGCCTTGAGAGTCAATCAATTTTGTTCGATAAAATTACTTTACCTATAGAATGAATTAGATAACGCTATTACAAAGCAATTTTACTCGTAATTTTCTGAAAGTTTTAATTCTACGGCGTGTGAACTGCACACATGCTTTTTTAACTTAAGTTGTAGAAGGCACTAAAAGCAAAAGGTAAGCTTACAAATATTATTTAAGTGTGATAAATTTTATTTTATAATCTAGCGCTTTCTTATATATTATAGGAACGAGCATGCTGCTCACCTGATTGTAAGTATCAACCGCCACCCAAGCTGAAACTTTCATGAACAATTTTCTATTTGCCTATGCTTTATCTTAATATTACCTAAGCCTACTTCCTTATAAGCGAAAAATAATGCAAGTACTGGAAAATACTACCAAGCTAGTAAAACTAAATTCATGAAACATTGAAACAACCTAAAAACCCTCTATTCTACGTCCAAAACTGTCTAGTGTGTAACCTGTCAAACGATGAGCCATTTAAATTTTAAAATTTTAAAACTTAATAACTCATAAATTATAATAAATAGGTATGTTTTTATTTAGACGAATAATAGCTATTTTCATTGGCTATAGACCGACATTATTGCCTTTCTTAAAATATTTATAGACATTCCAGGACTTGGCCATGGTTTTTTTTAAATGGGAAATGATCCATTGTGTACATAAGTGTGTACACAATGAGCCTAGTTATATTTAACAATGATCCAGGATCCGATGTACTTATTATTTTGTACTTTTTACAATGAATTTGGTAATTACTACTGAAAAGGAACCAGACAAACGTTAAACTAAGAAACAGAAGGGGGGAATCGAGGCTTCTCTCGATCCGGCCTCCTACAACGCCTACGTTGGGTTCGGGAACAACGTATGTGATCTCCGCAACGGAGTAACACACAAGGGCGATAACCTCTTCCTTTTCAGAAAATAGGTTCAGGCGGGGATTACGGGTCTTCCGAAGTCATCCCGGTCCCAACGCCTTAATTCTTCGATATGGACTGTATCACTTTAAGGGGAGAATTCCTTGGGAATAAAACAGCAATTATCTTCAAACCGTTCCGTGAGAGAGTAATTACTTTTCCCTATCACTTCCCTATACTTTTTCTTTCTTCTTCTTATTGACTGCTGGTTTTGCACTTTTCCCGAACTAATTGCAACGTTGATTGTCGTCTGCTATGGGACTACTTTTATTCATCCCATGCAGGTTTCGGGCCTCGGGGAGTCCCCCATTACCAGGGTGATCCTCACGGCTCATGACAATGAGCCGGTCTTGGGAGCCGTACCAGTACGGCATTGTTGGCTATCTTGGTTGGCGTATTGCGCGCCACCAGATCGGTGCTACCGGAGGGTCGGCCGTCTCGAAGCCCCGCGGAGTCCTGAGGATGGGAGTCGACGCAGGGCCAATCTTGCCGACAGGAGGGCGCTCCAACAGCAGCTGCTCCGGGCCTCCAGTGCTCCTTCCTGGCTCTAGTTGAAGGCCTGGCATTCCTAGGCAAAAGGTTGGCGTGTCTCGCGCCTCTGGGAAGGGAATCTGCCGAAGAGTCAGCAACCTCAAGGTTCCGCGGAGAAGCATCTCGACGCGGAGCCGAAGCCACCAACAGGCGCGCGTACTTAGGTGCGCCGGGCCTTCGGAGTTCGCTTCCCAGCGTGTAAGGTTAAGCGCAGTGTTGGGTGATCTTCATCCCGGGTGGGGTCAGGGGCGTCCTCAAGGCTCGACGCAAGCCGAGTTGGCCCCACAGCGCGCGCACCCACTGCGAAGCGACGGGCTGTACTTCTCCCACCCGGGCGGGAGTCGACGACCGGCGGACGTGACCGCTCGTTGGCGCGGTCCGGACGCAAGAAAAAAAATATCTTTGTACACCACACTGTAGTAGAATACACGGTACCTACTGTAAATTTTTATAACACCTAACTTACTGTATTCACAAATAAATAAATGAATTTGAATTTGAATTTGAAAAATCAATTTACTGAACTACCTCGAAGCTAAACGCGAAAGTGAGCCGCGCCATTTGTGCGCTAGCGCAACTCAATTACATCAATTTGTACTATCACTCTCTCACGGTTTGCTCAATAACTTTATTTGTATAAGACATACATTTATACAATTTACTTATAAAGATAGCACAAAGAAATATCTATACTACGATATACATTACATTTTCATATCACAAAAAATCCTTTATTTATTTAACAAAATATGCTTATTTTACTCACATGTTCAAAGTTGGAATTTCTTAAATATTTAACATAGAAAGTTAAAACAATGTTTTTTACTTGAAATTATACATATCTTAACTAATACAATAGTTTAATTTACATTTTCTCTATACATTTCACTATTAAAACACTTTTAAATTTCTTATACAAAACTATCATTATTTCACTTATTCACAGGAATTTTCACAAGAAATAACACAGAATTCACCTCTTTTACACGTACAATCAATCTGAAATGTTTTACAAGTCATTTTACATAAATTGCTGAAATTTGCAAATATTTAAATTTCTACATATTTTGACATCCTAAGTTAACGCGCGGCTATGAACTCACGCTATTTGAACAACTAATTCTCACATGACTTTCAATTGTCGGCAAAAATGGCAAATTTAGCGCACGGCTATCAACCAATACTAGGTGAACAAATGATTCTACACAATTCTCAAACGCCGAAAACTATTTCTAATCAGATTCTTATCAGTTATCATGTTTCTTATCAAACAATATAAGTGAATGCTTTCATAAATCAATCAAAGAAAATAGGCATTTGTTTTCATACAAAACATATCAAACTAATATAAGACAATACTTATGCAATTAATTTCCATTAATTCTACTTATGCACAGCGATCATCTCGACCGGTGAACAAATCCTGGTCTCTAACTTTATTTTACTATTTCTTTAAATTAACATTATTGGAAAGATGATTTCAACCGGGGAACAAATCCGGTAACATAATTTATATCTTAAAAATTCCCTATATGTATTTATTAAGAGATATTACTAAGAAAACGATAAACTATTCCGGCCTGGGAGTCGAACCCAAGACCTTCATATCATTAATTCGATATTTCTTTAAGATTCAACTAAGCATTTTCTTATCGGAATATTGTTGTTTGATAATTTGCTTTTTAGAAGCTATTCGTAATCGGTTAACTAATAAATTGAAATATTCTTATAGGCGCGTCGCCAACAACTACATTAATAAAACTATGCTTCTTGTTTATAACCTTCTTTTAATCAGTTTATTTTAATCGTAATCAAACAATTCAGAACATTTTACTTTTATTTCGGTTGAGTTTTATTAAAGTAAGAGAAACTCAAACTAAAATCAAAATTTTAATAGTTATAAAATCAAAAATATTATCATAAAACACTAAAAAAATCAGCTTAGTCAACTTATCTTATTATCAGTAACTTTATAAATAACAATCAGCCTCGTAACGATTATTACTTTTATTACAGCCCCAGCACCACTCCTGAACATAGGGCTCCCCCAAGGTATGCCACAAAACACAGTCCTGAGTCACCTGCATCCATCGACTTCCTACATGTCTTACCAGGTCGTCACTCCATCCCCACCACCATCCACTTTTTGTTAAAAGCCCTGGTATGTGCAAGGCCGCAGGCTTTCGTGTTTTTTAATGATAAATCCCGATTCCATTACCAAAGCCATTCAAGGCCTGCCATTTTTTCATTATTCCAGAGATAGAAAAACCGGTTCATTAAATGGGCCATAAATCGTAAACGGTAAGTTTTACAAAAAAAGTTTACTGGAAACAAAATATGCGAAATTTTATTTTCTACAATAATGGTTTTTTTGCCTTAAAGTGCATAGTTTCCGAAATATCGGCTGAAAACGTTTTTTCAAGATGGCGCTGGATGCGCCACCTGGATCTGTCAGCATTTTGTGATTTTATGCTGAGTAAATGATCCTAAATCTTATAAAAAATAAAATTGGATCGGAAATTTAGTGCAAAGTCAAATTCTATTTTTACTGTACTATTTCATTAAACATTTTATTTATCAACAACGTCTTCTATCGTCGTTTCTCTAGCGCTCACGTGACATTCATACAAGTAATTCGATATTTTAATTGTTGATAATTTTTATTTTTGATAGGAACATGGTAGTGACTCTAAGTTATATTTACCTTCATTTAAAAAAATTGTCTTTGGCCAAATCTACTATACTCTTTGGCTTGACCATAGGTTTGACTAATTGGTGTTAATATACTGACATTTCAGTAGTGGTTAAATAACGTTGCTGCGTCTGATGGCATGCGTTACACTCCTTAGCGGCCTTTCTGATACTCCATCCTTGCCTATATAATTTGATAGCTCGAAGCATGTTATCAGCAGTGGTCAGCTTAGTGTGCGTCATCTAAATTAAAAAGCACAAATGACAATGAATCAATAAATCTATAACATATATAGCGTTATACAAAGGAAAAATATACAAAGTACACAACACAAACACTAGCAATGGGCAGCACGGTAAACAATGAAACACGATTATTGATTATCCAATGAAACATAGCTCATTGTGTACAACATGGTTTTGTTTCATTGTATATCATGTAACATATTTCTATAACCTTGAAATAAAAAAGTAATATAAAACATTCCAAATATGTTTTGTACGTAAATGATACATGTACAGTGTCATGCAATATCAAGAAAAAACGAACTCATACACATAATAATGAAAAATCGACGAATATTCATAAAAGATTGTACTTTTTGCATAAAATCCGTTAAACCACTATCACCCGTTTGCTTCGCACGCGCCGCATCTACGAATTGGAGCATTGGGAGAGGACTTGCGGCTACTTCTATACATCTGGGCTTAAAAAAATTATTTACTGATGACTAGTTTGCCAGTGTTCTAAAGATAAAAATGTTATGCAATGATTTTTTTTATTTTTTTAACAATAAGTGACAGTATAAAGAATACAGGTAGCTGCGGGTCCTAAACTAAGCGCAGCTTGTATCTCAGGATCCTGGCATGCGATACAAAACGGTTTGTCACTGGACCTCATTTACATCGAGATTTAGTGGACGTTGAGCCCTTTCCAATCTACTGTGCATTATCTGGCCACGTCGCATTTTTGAAATATGGAAATGTTTTACTGTGTACTACTGGTTCAATGATGGACAGGTAACCCTACGCCTCAAAGTAAGTAAGTAGATTGTTAGAAAGTAGACCTTAGACAAATAATTTGATCGGTAAAATCAAAGTGTAGGGAACGTAGGTATCCGTGATACGTAGTAGATGGATTTCTGTTCCTGTTCTATCGTTTAAAATAATAGTATGAAGCTGATTTTGATACGTAAAAGTGATGCGATTTTGTGTATAGAGCAATACGAGCTGTCGGCGGATCTGAGGCTTTTTATATGAGATAACATTGCCATCAACTGTCCGCTAGGTTAAGCTGCCTTCGAAATCTCCCAAATAGTTTGTAATGTGATGCATTACTAATTATTGTAAAGAGTTTTACGAATAACCTACAAATCAGACTAGCCTGTATAGTCTAAGACCTTTACCTACCTTAATCGGTGAAACGTAATTACTTTATCTATGCTAAGACCTATGATCTATGCTCAAAAGTACGATTGTCATTTGTCAAATGTCAAACGAAATTGTCATACGCGTTTGAGATATGTCAGTGAGCGATCGTTCGTCGCTTGGTGTCTTGGTGTAATTTTGTGTCGTAAATGTGGTGTGGTGTAATAATGAGAAAACACGTGTTGGACTATCTAATTATAAAGTAATGAAAGTGTTATAAGTTCAGTTTCTTGTTATAAATAGTTATTTTCATTTGTATGTCATCGGACTCTTCAATATGGCGGCCCCCCGTCACAAATCACAACAGAAAAATATATCCTCAATATTCTCAAAGTTGCACGGAGCTTTTTCTGATGCCGTGTGCCCAACAAAGCTCGCAACCGACAAAAGAACCCTCGACAAGACTTGGAAATTGATGGATAAAGTTGTGAAACTATGTCAACATCACAAAATGAACTTGAAAAACAGTCCGCCGTTTATTCTTGATATTTTGCCGGATACATATCAGCGGTTGCGCATTATTTACTCGAAATACGAGGATAATATGCAGGAGTTGAATAATAACGAACATTTCAATATGTTTATTATAAACTTAATAAGAAAGTGTAAGCAAGCTATTAAGTTGTTCAAAGAAGGTAAAGAGAAAATGTTTGATGAAAATTCGCATTATAGACGAAATTTGACGAAGCTTAGTCTCGTGTTTAGTCATATGCTCAGTGAACTAAAGGCGATGTTCCCGAATGGAACATTTGCGGGTGATCAGTTTCGCATAACGAAGAGTGATGCCGCCGAGTTTTGGAGAACGAATTTCGGTAACAGGTAAGTGTTTTAGCTTCATCTTATATCCTCTGCGGGTGCTATATTTTTGATTAGTACCCAAATAGATTCTTTTATTAATATGTTGGTAACTGACTATAGCTTTTGTGCATAGAAACTAGAGATGGGCTGAATATGGATATCACCGAATACGAATATTCGGCCGAAAGTTCGGTAAAACTTTTACCGAACCGAATATTTGGCCGAACATTATTCTGCAGGATCACCTCGGTACTTAACCAATTTATGTCGAAACTTCTTACTGTAAAACATATGGGATTAGCGCGGAACTCTGCCCCTTGCTTCCCCACCACACCTGGTATGTTATTGCATCATTTAATACTGAGAAAATTGCCGGCACATGCTTATATTTTGACTATTTTAGTGAGAAAAAAAAGATTTCGTTCTGTTATTCTTAGTGAAAATTGATAATTATATGATAAAAATGTGTGGCAGGTGTGATGGTACTACTACTTATTTTAGAGAAACTGACGACCAAAGTAAAGTGATATGTATTTATGTAATGTAATGTTTCTATATTTATATCTTATATTTTATCAAGATTTCTATTTGCTGTAATTGAAAATAAATCTACAGTGCCTCGAAAACATAAAATTTGAAGTAGATTTAGTCCATAAATAAAATATACTTTCAACAGTAAAATTATGAAAGACTTGTCATTACTCAATTCGTAAATTTTAATACAGTGACACTGAGTACCACATAAACAAATTTTTGGTAATTTGGCTGAATATTCAGCCGAATACGAATATTCAGTAAAGCTGCCAAATATACCGAATATAAAACGAATATTCAGCCCATCTCTAATAGAAACTGTTTTCAGAATATACCTAAGTCTTTTGACTACACCGTAATCTGTTTAAAATGGGACCTGTGACAAGCAGTAGATTAATTTGGTTTCTGAAATTATTTCACAGTTAGTACTTTCAATTATACATTACAATTTTCTGTGGCATATGCGAAAACATGTTTGGTGGTTTGGTTTTATAGATTACAAACCAAAATTTTGGTATATGATTATTGACTATATGACCTTGGATTGCATAGAAGGAAAACACAATACCATGTAATTTTCTCGATAGAAAAAAATTGCAAAGTAGGCTCCAATTAGTTACATTTTTCCATGAGACAACAATATTTTTACGAATAAGTTCTTGGAAATATTTTTAAGGCATAGTAAATAGTCATATCTAATTCTCATAAACCGTTTCTTAATCTATAACAATGTTTTGTTAAAAAAATAAAAACTTTGTTTGATGCTTACTTAGTTTTCTTCCAAGTGTGTGCTCAGTATAGCTATCTCATAATTTGCATATTATGAAGTCATTGCATCACTTTCGTTTTGACACTCCCTCAGTTATCACCCTCAGTTATCAGCGAGCTTCACCGATAAAGGAATAAGCCAGGCCCCCAAAACTACAATTCATTTTCTAGGTATCCTCTTAATAATGTAGTCATTTCTGAACTATGGGGTTGTACATTATTCTGTTTGAGTTCCTACTGTAGTACCAATAAGAGTGTCCTTCAGGTCAGTGTGCCTTTTGACATAAGCCTCCTTCAACTACTTCCATTGGGTTCCCTCTCTTGCTACCCTTATCCATATGGTCCCAAGGTTAGGTGGATATTCTCTTCCCATCTTCTGATTGGGTAACCCTGTTTTCTGACACCTGTACCATAGTGTTACCTGCTTGCTTAATTTTTTGGTCTTATAACGAATCATTTATAGAGTGAAGGAGAAGTTGTTTATATACTTTCTATCAACTACCAGCCACATTATAACATATTTTTATTAGGGTTCTGTAATCAACTAGGAACCCTTATAGTTTCGCCATGTCTGTCTGTCCGTCCTCGCGAAATTTGGTACCAATATTTGTATCAATCACGCCGACAAAGTGGTAAAATAAAAATTGGAAAAAAATGTTTTATTAGGGTAGCCCCCCCTATATGTAAAGTGGGAAGTGATTTTTTTTTTAATTTCAACCCTAACGTGTGATATATTGTTGGAAAGGTATTTAAAAATGAATAGGGGTTTACTAAAATCATTTTTTGAGAATGTCAATAATTTCGGAAATAATCGCTCCAAAAGTAAAAAACAATGTGTCCTCCCCCTCTAACTTTTGAACCATAAGTTAGAAAATATGAAAAAAAATCTGAAAAGTAGAACTTTATAAGGACTTTCTTGGAAAATCATTTTGAACTTGGATGGAAACAACAGTACCCACTACCGGGAGCAGTTGCAGGAGCACGGAGCGCTGCTGGAGTGCGAACATAATGGATACCCACCTTTAAACTCATAAGTGGGAACACTTATTGTGACGGACGGGAAACTACGGAACCCTATAGTGAGCGTGGCCCGACACGCTCTTGGCCGGTTTCATTGTTTATAATGTTATAAAACTGTGGTAGCTCAGGGGTTAAGAACTGCCTGTGACTATCATAGTATCATATTATGCAATAGGCATGTATCATAGTATAGAAGTAACCATGGGTTCATCCCTGCCAGCACCAGTGACATTGTTACTGTAAATTTTAGGTGCTGATCCTGATGATCACATATTCTCGTTGTTTTTAATGTTTTTTAGTTGTGGTAGTTTATGATCTAAGTTGTTGTAAATATCATAATATGCAAGCAACCTGGGATCAATCTCTGCCAGCATAAATAAAATTTTCAGTGTTGATTCCAACACATAATTGGTGGTCAAAGATTATAAAGCCAATTTGCAGTTAGGTGTACACATAGGCACTTTGAAGCTCATGTAAGACTGCAATGTTATACAAACAATCCTGATAGCCAAGTAGCACTGCTACCAATATTATTAAATATGATTAAATTTAATGACCTCAAGCTGGCAGGCTGGGCGAACTGTTTAAAGACACTGGAGTTCAACATCGGGGTTTATATTTGTGATTTCCTCGAGATTGAATATCAATCGCAGCAGACAGTATCTATCAACTTCGCTGGATAGGTTTATAGTGCATGCCCCAGCAAAGTTGCACTCACTAGTACCTTATGACGAGACTATGAGAAGTCCACTGCGATGGCAATCCAACCTCACTGAACCTGAGAGAGATTGAATGCAGAATAAAGGCTTTGTCACGCTTTCCACGGACTTCAGAAACACAAGGTGAAATATTGCAAACTTTTGTCTTGGAGCTGCTACTAAGAATTTTTTAAAAACCCAATAATTAAATGTGTTTTTAACCCAGGATCTCAAGATCAGCAGTCGTGTTTGAGCAACTGACCAACAGTCATATTAGCACTAGACCAAGGAGATGGTGCAGCGGGTTGAGGCATATGAGTAGGTATTGTAGACAATAAACAAGCTCAAAAGCTTGCATGGAAGGCAACAAAGTCTTGGTACACAATTTGGACCTGAGCCATTTTGTGGAATCTCAAAAAGTTTGACCTTATTGACCCTTAAAACTCTACCACAAATAGTCTCTTAAGATCTGGTATCATACAGGAGACTTTATGATCTAAGTTGTTGTAAATATCATAATATGCAAGCAACCTGGGATCAATCTCTGCCAGCATAAATAAAATTTTCAGTGTTGATTCCAACACATAATTGGTGGTCAAAGATTATAAAGCCAATTTGCAGTTAGGTGTACACATAGGCACTTTGAAGCTCATGTAAGACTGCAATGTTATACAAACAATCCTGATAGCCAAGTAGCACTGCTACCAATATTATTAAATATGATTAAATTTAATGACCTCAAGCTGGCAGGCTGGGCGAACTGTTTAAAGACACTGGAGTTCAACATCGGGGTTTATATTTGTGATTTCCTCGAGATTGAATATCAATCGCAGCAGACAGTATCTATCAACTTCGCTGGATAGGTTTATAGTGCATGCCCCAGCAAAGTTGCACTCACTAGTACCTTATGACGAGACTATGAGAAGTCCACTGCGATGGCAATCCAACCTCACTGAACCTGAGAGAGATTGAATGCAGAATAAAGGCTTTGTCACGCTTTCCACGGCCTTCAGAAACACAAGGTGAAATATTGCAAACTTTTGTCTTGGAGCTGCTACTAAGAATTTTTTAAAAACCCAATAATTAAATGTGTTTTTAACCCAGGATCTCAAGATCAGCAGTCGTGTTTGAGCAACTGACCAACAGTCATATTAGCACTAGACCAAGGAGATGGTGCAGCGGGTTGAGGCATATGAGTAGGTATTGTAGACAATAAACAAGCTCAAAAGCTTGCATGGAAGGCAACAAAGTCTTGGTACACAATTTGGACCTGAGCCATTTTGTGGAATCTCAAAAAGTTTGACCTTATTGACCCTTAAAACTCTACCACAAATAGTCTCTTAAGATCTGGTATCATACAGGAGACTTAATCATTCCTAGAACATATTTTGGGCGTATGGATTATTGTTTAGCACTTATTTCGGTGATTAAAACTTAGTTTACAAAAAGAAATGCTTAAATCCAAGCAACTCCTTCAATAAGTTTTAGATATAGGGTGTAGCAGAGAATTGTAGCCAGCAATCACAATAGATCATATCAATTGCAGTGATATTTGTCTTCTAGACCTGTATAACTGCTTGCATAACAAAATAGACCTCAACACAAGTTCATTATTTAGTACTGATGAGAGATCTTTGCGAAAGAGATATTGTTACATCTTAAAACATTTCAGAGTGTATAAATCATCAAAATGCTTTCCTGTTCCATTGGATAATATGGGAAATCAAATAAGACACGGCTATAAAAATATGGTATAACTTTTAAACAATAAGTAATTAATTGCAGGGCTCAAGTAAAACTGGGGTTCGTCCTTAACATATTACCACCATATTGTCCCATCCTTTCACATTCGGCAACATTGTTGCATAGACCAATTACAGTTTGAATATATTTTTTGTGAATACCTGGTGTGTTAAAGTGAGTTGTGTACTTTAAACAAAAATGTGTACAGTTCACATGCAGGTGGAAGTGAAACCATCAGAAAACTGAACTGAGAGAATGAGAT